CTTTCTTGAAATATTTCAATTTTTATTCCATCAATTCCTGGTGCCTTGTTCTTTGCCAATTCCTTCAATGCACCTTGGACTTCCTCCTTCAGTATTATTGGCTCTTGATCATATGCTACCTCTTGAAACAGTTGAACATTAACCATTTCCTTTTGGTACAGTTACTCTGTGTATTCCTTCCATCTTCTTTTGATGCTTTCTGCATCATTCAATAATTTACCCAGAGAATCTTTCAAATAACAGAAGTCGAGGCTTGAATTTTTTCTCAGTTTCCCCAGCTTGAGAAATGCTGAGTGTGTTCTTTCTTTTTGGTTTTCTGATTCCAGATCTTTGTACATTTTGTTGTAATATTTGGCTTTATCTTCTCGAGCTGATCTTTGAAATTTTCTGTTCAGCTCTTGTACCACCTCATTTCTTCCATTTGCTTTAGCATCTCTACGCTGGAGAGCAAGTTCTCATCTCACATCCATTTTGACCTTTTCCTTCTTTCTTGTTTTCTTAATGACTTTTTTTTTTTTAATTTATCAATTATTTAATGAGGTTCTTTCTTTGTAAGAAATCTAGAATACTAATTTGTGAGGCTAAATTCCATTTGTGAGAGCAAACACAGCACGCAGGTAACCGTGGAGCTGGGGAATGGCTTTGATTTTTGGCATAATTTGTGAGTCCACAGCTTTCTGATCCACTTTGCGCTGCTCTGTAACCTTGTATTTCTCTTTCTCTGTGTCGAAGATCTCGCCTTCTTGAAGTAAGCATCTGTGAGATGTTTGGGGATCTTCACACCACTGATATCAATTTTGGTGGAGGTGGCAATGACAAATTTCTGGTGTGTTCTACGCAGAGGAACTCAATTGAGGGACAGAGGTCCAGTCACAAGGAGCAAACCACTGGCCAGCTGCTTTAGGAAAACTGCTCTCTTGCCTCAATGACGCCCAGTGAGGATGATCAGAATGGTCCCAGGAGTGATGCTGGACCGCAGTCTTCTGACATGCTGACTGAAGGGTTTTTTGCCGTGGCTCAACAGTTTCCTAGGCACATCTTCAGTTGGGTAATACCTAGGCATTTTGCGCAGTTTAACCACTCGGGTACCACCATTCTTGTCACCACCAACTGGCTTTGTGACAGTAGCAAGAACCTTCTCCTTCTTCTTCTTTTCAACCCGGGATTTAGCAGCTGAATACTTCCTCTTGTACATGGCCTTTCTAGAATACATGGCCAATCAGGAATACCTGCCAATTCCTCGGACTAGGACAGGATTTTGGCTGCAGTGTGGCTTTCCCTGCTTGGGTTTTTTGCCCTTGAGATTAGTCTTCTTAGCTTTGCCACTGGCATTTGCTTTTTTGACTATAGGCTTCTTCACCTTGGTAGGCGGCTTCTCCACCTTGGTAGGAGGCTTCTCAGCCTTTTCACCAGCCATCCTGCAAGATGGGAAAGTTAATGACTTTTTGCTTTCTTCATGTATGATGTTCTTGATGTCATCCCACAACTCTTCTAGTCTTCTGTCTTTAGTGTTTAATGTATCAAATCTGTTCTTCAGATGATCTGTAAATTCAAGTGGGATGTATTCAAGGTAATATTTTGGCTCTCGTGGACTTGTTTTCCTTTTCTTCAGCTTCAGTTTGAATTTGCATATGAGTAATTGATGGTTTGTTCCAGAGTCTGCTCCTGGCCTTGTTTTAACTGATGATATGGAGCTTTCCCGTCATCTTTTTCTGCAGATGTAGTCAATTTGATTTCTATGAATTCCATCTGGTGAGGTCCATGTGTATAGTCATCTCTTATGCTGTCTAAATAAGATATTTGAAATGAACAAATCATTGGATTTGCAGAATTCTATCATGTGTTCTCCAGCATCATTTCTATCACCAAGGCCATATTTTCCAACTACTGATCCTTCCTCTTTGCTCCCAACCTTTGTATCCCAGTCACCAATAATGATCAATA